TCGTACAGGGCGACCAAGGCAGTCTCTGTACCAAAACCTGGCCTGAAATCCGATTGAAATGGATCCAGAAAATCCATTTCATCCAGCAGCGCCTGGAGTTGCCCGGCCACAACCCGCTCCAACACTGCCCAAATAAGGGAGGTTTGCCACTGGTCAGTAGTTAACCACCAGCCTTGGGTCCAGGTTAGGCTTTTTAAGGAGTGGTTCAATTGCCACCTCTTTCAAGATGGTAGGGACCACTCCCTCTCTCAAAGAGGCGTTCACGGCCTCCTGGACCCAGGTGCAAACCCCCCTGGTTGATCTTCCAATCAGCCAGGATGGGCAAGGGTCGAGCGGAGTGGTGGTAGAACGGACAGATCCAAGCACCCTGTCCATATCCTCAATGGCAGTTATACTCTGCTGCCAATCCCTCATTTGAAAAGGAGTGGACTAGCAGCTACTTCAGCCATACAACCTGGAGTTTTCCAGCCTTCTGAAAGACCAGAAAGTACTATGGCCTACATTCAGTTGCTAAACCCACAATTAATGACAGAATGATGCCAGCACTTCTGTAAATCCCATTCATTCAATGGATTTACTCTGCTGGGAACTAGGAAAGAGATGTAGGCTTTTGTGTCTGATGATTACATGGCAATTAGTCTCATTTCCAAATCCATCCTGCTGGATTCAGTTGAACTAATTATAAAGGTACTTTATTGCTTTGACATTAATGGCCAGAATCCTCTTGGTGATTTATGCCTGCATAATATGCACAATATAACTAATTGCAGGGAATTGACACTAGCTAACTAATCCCTGGTCACTTTACAAGGTGTCTGACTACAAGACAGGAATGCATCTAGTAACATGATTAGCGCCTCATTACTTAATGATGATTCACTGTGGTGAGTTAAACAATTTAAATTATGCATGCATAAATCACCAGTGGGATTCTGGCCAATATCTCCATTATATTTTAAGTAAAATAATGTTTAACACCAAACTAACATAACCAAGACACTTTACAAATAAAATTAAACATTACCAAGATAGGTTTTGAGAAATATCTCCTAGAATCACCAAAAAGTTAATGTGAGCCTAGGAATTTTGTTTCTCAGCATTATTTAGCTTAATTTTCCTCACTTGTTCCATGTTCCTCATTTAGAAATTCATCTTGAGTTAACATTGCTTGTTAGATTAGCTACTGAGGGTTAAAAGAAAGCCTAATTCTAGATCTTTTTGTCTGGCAAATATTGACCAATATCTACCCTCATCATCTCATAAAATGTACAGTAATAAGGAAAAACTCTGTTGAACCTCCGATATGGGTGATAAAAATATATTGCATGATGCTGACTCTAGAAAGGCGGCATCTTGAGATAACATTGCTTGTTAGATTAGCTACTGAGGGTTAAAAGAAAGCCTAATTCTAGATCTTTTTGTCTGGCAAATATTGACCAATATCTACCCTCATCATCTCATAAAATGTACAGTAATAAGGAAAAACTCTGTTGAACCTCCGATATGGGTGATAAAAATATATTGCATGATGCTGACTCTAGAAAGGCGTAAATGTTTGCAATCAAATAAGGAAGAAGAACCAGCAGCAAAAAGGGAAATTTACTTAATTTGCATAAAAAGAACTTCTGAATTGCTACAGAGCTGCTGCTGTTGAAATACAGGTGCCCAGAGTCTCTAGACACTAGGAGCTGCTTCAGCTAGAAAGCAGCCTTGGTTTGCATTGTTTACTCCCTTCCATTGTCTTGTTGCTTCTACTAGGAATGGGATCCTGGACATCTCTGTGTGCCCTTCTTTTGATCTTCTCCATTCACGGTAAGTTTAGATGGATTCTGCTGTGAACAATATTTATAGTCTCCCTTTTCAGTAAAATATTGTTCAAAGTGCTTAAAACTAGAAGAAAGTTCACCATATATCATGCAAGCTATTAAACTTGTTGTTGTTTTTCATGTTCTTACCTTTTTGGCATGCAAGATATTAAACTTGTTGTTTTTCATGTTCTTACCTTTTTGGTATTAGAGAAGGATAGGTTTCTTCTCTTCCCATTGCTAAGGTGATCAATTAGCTCTTTTCCAGATTGAAGAGATGGAAAGTGTGTGGCCCTCTAGATGTTGTGGTATCACAGTCCCATGACATCTAGAGGGCCCAGTGATAAGGTATGATGAGGTATGATGGTCTAGCAATATCTGAAGGGCTGTACATTTCTGTTATTGGCATATAAAACTGCTTCATTAAACTCTGTAGATTTGTAAGATTCTACTTGTAGATTCCTTTTAAGCTGTACAGTGTCCTCCTTATATTGCAGTACTCTTTCGTCCACAACTCTTTTTCCAGGATTGGTGGGTGTTTGGATGTAACATATAGAAAATAACCCCCATTTGTTATTTCCCTGGAACACAGATGCTAAAATGCTAAAAACTATGACACCCAAGGAGACAAAAAGAGTTGAAAGAAACCATGTTTTCTTGGTCATGGCCCCTTCTTGTTAAAATAAACTTTCTATGGAGGTTTGTCAGGCACCATCCTTCTCAATCATTAGGCAATTAATTAAAAACAGAATTATTTTAAAGCTGCCTTTTACTAGTGTTTAACTATTGACATGAGATGTCTAAATTTGTTTTATATTTGTTTAATTCTATTTAAATGTTTTAGATAGTGACAGGGCTTTTCTTGTATTTATTGTATATTGTTTATGTATTGTTTGATTAATAATTATGCCTTGATGGGTTGTGAACCAGAAAGTGTTTACAACTTCATTGTTCCATGAAGTGGAACAATGTTTAGAAAGGAAAGCTAGAGCTTTGAAGTGACTAGTTACAAATAACTAGTTACTTATTATTATATAATTTCCCTAATAATGCAGGTATAACTAACCTGTAGTACAACTTTAACAGAACAATGGATAACTTCACTATATGATGGTGGAGAATTTCCTCTGGTTCAAGTGCTGCCCTCTGCTACTTGAGCTTTGTGGTTTGTGGAAGGTATTGAGGCAACAATGAGATGGGGTGGAAAGAGGCTGGATTTTATTCCAAAGGTGGAGATAGTAACTATTTACAAGTAGTAACTATTTAAACTACACGAGTATTTCAGTTATTTTTTTAAAATGGGAAGATTAATTGCTCCTTATTATACATCTATATTGGTAACTAGCAACTTCCTGGGACCTTGTAAATGTAACTAATTACTTCCAACAGGGCAAAATCCTTTTCTGCAACTGTGTAGGGGAAATGATGTCACTACTAGCGGATACAGCCAGCCACTAACGACAGAGTCCTTGCTTCAGTTCTGGAATGCACATGATTCATGCACAATGAGATAAAGTTGAAACAATGAGGAATTGAAACAGAGACTCTTTAATTAGCAGTGATCTGACACTGCTGGTAATGTCATTTCCACTATGCTGAATTACAGAAGGGATTTTGGCCATAGTAAGCTTCGAAGCTCCAAAATCTCTGCATAGTGATTACTGGAGTGAATTACATGTTATTTGGCATAACTTTTAAAGAATGAACTGGGTAGAATGCAAGAGTGTTCTCTGATTCGCAGCCTACCACTTCAATACTTGGCAATTCTTGTACTTGGAGGAAATAGGATTGTATAATGATTGAGAAGTGTATATTTACACAGAAATATGTGGCAGCCAGATCCTTCCATTTAACTCTTAACTCCATCTTCCCTTTGCATCAGATACCCGTTCCCAAACATTTCTCTGTTCCAGTGGTTTTTGTGCAACAGGCTGGGTGCAGTATGCGGACTCCTGCTATAAAGCTGTGATGGAACCAAAAAACTGGAATGACGCTGAGGCAAGTGAAGGATGGATGTCAGAGTGGTTAGCAGTGGGGGGAAGGAGGGGCAGAGCAAGCCAATGTCCCTGGCTAGCCCCATTTTTCCAAAACCTAAAGTCCCTTCTGGGTAACACATGTTCAGTGGGTTTTATTGGGCTGTTTTGTGCAGGGAAACATAGGTAACAGGTTTCATAGAAACACAATTGGTACCTTCGATCTGTGTGTGTATGTGCGGGGCAGTCAACAGGACAAATGAAACTGATTACAGTATATGTCACCTGTGCTCTGAGGAAGGGATTCTGATCATGAGCTTCCCTAAAGTTGAGATAGAACTCAGTGTTGCGGTAAGCAGCCATTTGCTGCTAAGAAAAATAGAAAAACATTTAGTTTTCCTTCTCCCACCATCTTATCTGGTAGTAAATAAACTACTTGCACCTGTCACAGTGTTGCATCGTGATGATCCTGCCGACCTACCCTGCAAGCCAGTGATGTGGAAAAGTGGTCAGGAAAGGTGGAATGCCAATGATGCCACAACGTAGGCAAGCACGACCAGACATTTGGGATGTCAGGGGACAATGGGGCACCTTCTGCCATTGTCAGCAATGGTGGATATACTTTTAACGTCATGTTTCATAAAAGAACACAAGTGCTGTCAGGTCTTCTTTTTAGATATGACACTGGCCAAATGCAGACTCCTTACTAGCAGATATTAGTGTAGTTTTTTTTTTCATACAGCCATGTTTAAAATGCTAAGGCTGTCATCAGTTCAAGAAATCCAGTTCTAGCCCTATTCCTATTGTAAGTCAAATACACACTTTAGGAGGGAGAGTGTGTTAGTTCCATCCCCTCATCTTTTCAGAAAGCTGCTCATGTGGACAGCAACTTTCTGAGGAGAAGAGATTCCTGTACGCCTGGAGACTGTCCAGATCATATAGGGGACATTCTTCTCTTCTGAAGTCCCTCTCTGCATATGGAGAACAATGAAAAACGTGACAGGGATGTAGGCTTAGCACACTCCCCTCCTCATGCAGAAACAAACTCCCAACCTCCAATGCCTAAACCTCTGAGCTATCTTTGACTGAGGGAGCTGTTGATTCATAATGATATGTTTAGAAATAAAACATTTTTCTGATTATCTCCACACTGTTGTTATCATCAGCACAATCCTCCAAAACCCTCTGCTTATCGAGATTACATTTTCACTCACACTCAGAGAGAGAGAGAGAGAGAGCTGCTTCTTTTCTCCACCCATCATCTTCTACTTTAGTGCCAGTTATTTTTGTTTTGAGTAGCGGTAGCACCCACTCCTGCAGTTCAAAAATAGTGGACTTCCTTCTCAACTGTACAGTGTGTGATATGTATTACTTTACCCATTTCATAGTACTGTATAGTTAAGCCAGATTGTTGCATTTTGGACCTTCTTGTTGTTTCTTGTTGAGCACCCAGAAGCTCTGAATGTCTACACCGAAGTCCTGCCCTAAAAGTACCACCCAAGAGCCTCAGTAGCTAACCATGTTATTTCCTTAACAAGTTGGTCTGTAACTGAGCTGATCAAATGTGATATTTAAAACCACAGATTTACAAATATACTGTAGATTCATAAAGGTCTGTGCCACATCCTTGAATTTTTGAAATAGAAAAATCTGAAATGGAAAAGTGAAATAATAAATGTAAGTCTTTGATGGACACAAACACAGTTGTAATTCAAAGATTGTCATACTTCTTGGTGAAACAGTTAAACTACTTTGACAACAATATTCTTACTTTTTTTTTCTTCTGGTGGTTGGTCAGACCATATCTATGAGCAGTGAAATTATGTCCAGTTTTATACTAATAAAGCATAATAGTATAATGCAAAAAGCAGCAGCAGAAGAAGAATACTCATGGTTTTTTAAAGTGCTTGAAAATAGGCTGGCATCAGGTTTACTGATCAGCAAAATCTGAGTGCAGTATTTCACATGTGAGTGGCTGGGGCTTATATAAATGCTAAGTTGTTGTGAAGAAGACATTGCAGAAGCTACTGAGAAGTAAATTTCACTGTGAATTCTCCCCAGATGGCTTGTCAGAGTTATGGCAGGAACTCCCACCTGGCCTCTATCCACAGTGCAGAAGAAAATGACTTCATTTTTCACTTGATGGGCAAACCGCTGGATCACACCAATGGAAAGGCCTATTGGATCGGTGCTCATGACACTTTCAAGGTAAATATATGGAGCAACTGTTGAAAATAGCTAAAAGGTCAGCTTTAGGGTTGCCAAGTCAACAGCATCTCCGGTCACCAAATGTTTGTGTGCTGATCATCAACCCTAATCTGCACAGATGATGATGATGAGAGATTATGGGAACTTCAGTCCAACAGTATTTGGAGGGCCACACATTGTGTATTCCTACGATATCCTGCTCCTGGGGTTGTGGGGGAGAGATTCAAGGAGATTCAAGACTCCGGAGTCTCCACATTCCGCCTTGCACCAAATAACCCTGTCAGCTCCCCTTTTTTCCTGCTTCTTTGGTGCTCCAAAATGGCACAAGTGCAATACACATACAATTAACATTGGATGGAAAGGTGGAGATGGCTATTCAAGCCTTAAAGCTGTCTCACACATCAAAGCCAAGCTTCCTCACCCTCTGGCCCTGTTCATCTTGAGATTTGTCTTGAGAAATGAAGTAGCTTAACCGTCTTCTGAGTCCTCACCAATACATTGAGAATGGCCAAACCTACTTAGCCTAAACTTAAAAATTGGTCTGGAAATGTCCCAAGATGTACTAAGCTCAAGCTTCAGCCGTCTCTCGGGAGGTTAACAAGATCTCTATACAGTAGCTGGCTCAGAAAGATAAATGGTCTGAGTACGAGAAATGCGTCCATCTCAAAATGATAGGGAGAGGCATCACTCCTGCTCAGACCATTATCTGTATGTTTTCTATATGTAAGTGAGGTTTTCTCCTCCCTCCCATCTAGAAATGTGGGATAAGTTTATGCAGCCCAAATTTCCACACAAAATAATTTCACCAATTGTGAATGAGCATAACTGGTTGTCCAAACCAACAGCCAAACCAAAGAACAGACATGCACTTAAATTAGCATTTCCTCAGATTTTCCACAGAGTCTCCCTATTGAAAATGCATTGCCAATGTGTAAATTAAGATACAAATATGCATATCTTACTGGAAATTACTTTTTATTGGAAAGTTCTATGCAAGAGTACTTGCTTGCAAAAATATGTCTTTTAGGAACAGTGCTTATGTTAATATGTAGACAAGAAAATGCATATAAATGTCTGTGCAGAGTTCTAAAAAGATATTGAGTTGAGCTGAAATGAAATTAGGTTCAGAAAAATGAGAAACTAAACCGACAGGTTTATATTTTTGTAGGATAACATATGGTCCTTGTTGCAAATCTGATCTTATCCATGTTTATTCAGACTGATCTTGCTGAATTCAGTGCACCATGCTCCTAATTGTACGGTCACTGGATGACAGCCTTGGGCTAAAAGGTAACATCTGCAAAGCTTCCATACCTGGACTGGAGGTAATGATTGTCTGATCAAGATAGCCAAATGAGCCCTCATTGGCTGACCTAACAGGAGCAGCAAATACAGTTTCCACTCTTTGGAAGACTTGGCAAGGCTTTTTTCCATGTATGGCCACTAATTCTGAACCTTTTCATAGGAGGGATCCTTTGTGTGGACAGATGGTTCAGGATTTGATTTCCAGACATTTCCTCCTAATCAACCTGATGGACTGGCTGGAGAACACTACTTGGGGTCCTGGATCTTGCAAAATGGTGAGAAATTACTCCATACCTCCATACGAACCCCTTCTCTCTTAAAGTTAAATATTGTGTCTGAGTAGATGGGGACTAGGGTTTTTATACAGGGAATGGAAACAGGAATGAGATGGTGGATGAAAAAGCTTTTGGTAGCCCAGTCTGTGCAGACACATCCATGGTTTGGGAACAGAATGATAAGAAGGGAGAAAGAAAGCACGCATGATGGGATTTTTTTCTTATCCTTCCCTCATCAAAATGATTCCCTTTAACATCAGATTGGACTTCTAACTGAGTCCAAAGAGGCCTTTGAGCTCACTTTGGTGACTAACACTAGTGGTTAATAAACCTGAACAGCTTCAGGAGGAGGAGGAGGAAACAAGAGGAATGAAATCATCTCTAAACCACTTCTGGCAGCAACACCAATACCAACCGGAGGCCAAAAGCAAAAGAAAAGAAAAGAAAAGGGGCAAAATTTATGCAATTTGGATGCAGATGATGATCTGAACTCAGGAAACCACTATACAGTACTGTGTAGATGTAGTTCTGGAGAGATGCATGAACATGAACCTGGACCTTAACTTTATTAACCACGAGAGAGCCTTAAATGATGCCCAACATGGCAAACTGATGTGGTTGGCAAGCAAAGGTCTTCATTCAAGAGACATTCATATAATTGACAACCTATAATGGTAATAAACAGTGGAAGTGAGTGGCTGTTGTCCCGGAGGTGAATGTTGACACCTTCAGAGAAGCAGTTGCAGATTCCCGTGACAGTTTCATTGTTAATGGAGAGGTTGTCAAGAACACCCCAATATTCAGACAATACAGTATTACTAGCTGACAGCTGGGATGGTCTGCAAAGATTACTCAGTAAAGTCAATGAAATAAGTAGTCAATATGTTCTAAAAATGAATGCCAAGAAAATCAAGGATGGAATATGTTGACAAATGTAAAAACCCTGGAATATGATTGAATGCATTATGGAGTCCTAATTATGCAGTAACAGAACAGAGATGGCAGGAACACTAGATATATGCAATCGGGGTGGGGGGGAGAGAACCATCTGATAACCAATCACCTTTCTATCCTTTGTTCTACATAAATAGAGGCATCTTGTGACCACAGTCCAGATCATGTCTTAAATACAATTGAAATTAATATCATTGAGCAAAGCAATCTAGGCATGGTGTCTGCTAAGCCTGGATTTAAGCCAGTAACAGTGATGATCATACTAACCGAGGGATTCTGGGTAATGTGATGGCAAAGTTATTTTTAGCAACCACATTAAAGGAATGAAAACTTCTCCTTTAGCTTGCTATAGTAATGCAACATTTTACTCTTTGCTTAACGCTATGATGGCACATATTTAAGGCAACCTTTTCCAGTCTGCTGTCATCAGGTAGGGTGCTATAACTTTCATACTCTTTTCAATGAATGCTGGCTGAGAATGATGGAAATTGTGTTCCAACACATTTGGAAGCTACTGGGCTGGGGATGGTTAGCTTAATTTATACTAGTATGGTGCTCTGGTGTTGTGCGGTCTGTTAGAACCTCACCTAACAGAGTTCTCTGTGTTTGTGGCTTAACTATTCTTCATGGCCATAGGAAGCTGCTTTGCACAGAGTCAGGCCCTTAGTACACCCAGCCCAGGATTTTCAAAACTGAGCAGTAGCAGCTCTCTGAGGTTTCAGGCAGAAATTCTTCCCAGCCCTATCTGGGGGTGCCAGGGATTGAACCTGGGACATTCTGCTTGCAAAGAGTGTGTGCTGGTCATTGAGCTACTAAAGCACCCTCTGTTCTGGAATCCTCCAATATTCATGCCTTCTCTTTGTCTTTTTCAGGACACGTCACCTGGAATGACTTCGCTCTTTCATGGCACTTCCCTTTTGTTTGCAAATACAACCTGAGAGATAGGTAAAAACTGTATTTACTTTCCTCCAAGTTAGACCTACTATTTCTACTAAGCCACTGAGCTATTTGGAAAGCCTGCATACAAACAGGCAAAGAGCAAACAGGTCCCACATGTAGCTGCTAGATAACGATCTTTCAAGTAAAGATAATTTGTGAAAAAAGCCATCCAGTTTCTGTGGAATTTGATTGGCTCCTTCTCACTATGTTTTAACAAACCTAATAGATGAAGAAAGGGATAGAGTTTTTTAGTTTTGTTGTTATTGCTTCTCTGCTACTTAATTGCTTTAAACGTGACAATAATAATGATGATTATGTGCCATCAAGTCAATTGTAGCCCATATCAAGCCTTCCAGGGTTTTCTAGGTATAAAATACGCACAGGTTCCATACTGGCTGGCTTTTCTCCTGAGAAGCACATCAGGGATTTGAACTCTTAACTTCTGGCTCCACTGCCAGGCATTGCAACTCATGGAGCTATACTCACGGTCTTATTGACTACAGTAATAGCAGAGAAGTTTCTTCCTGCAAGCACTAACCCACTGTAATATATTTCCCTATCCAGCCTCTCCCATTCACCACTGCTAAGCACATTACGTGTCAGACAGCTTCTGACCCCATCAGATGTTGCTGGGCTACCATTCCCATCAGCAAAAGCCAGAGGTGAGGAATGATGGGAGTTGTTTTCCAGCAACATCAGAAGGGTCGCAGATTGTCTACCACTATGTTACAGGAAGTAAAACCAAACACAGTGTACCAGACTCAGGTGCCATGTACTCAAAGACGTAGCTTATGGTTGCAAAGCTTGGCTTTTGGCCTTCTTCCAAATCAGCCAACCAGGACATTCCAATTAGGGGCTGGTTTTGATTCATACGAGAACCCTGTGAGACAACAGGGCTCATATGCTGTTCTCCCTCCATCCTTAGGGCCACAAGTCTCCAGTAGAAGTTTGTGCAGGTGCCAGGAAAACTCTCCTTTTACCATTTCTTTTTTCCTTTGAGCCATGTAAGTCTCTGTGAATCTGCAAAAGGAGCAAGAGTGTTATCCTTTAAGTTTGCACTTCTATGCACACTGAAGGATGGCTACACTAGCATCAGTGAATGATCTAGTGTGGGCCACTTGGGAACAGCTGGGCTTGATTAATACAATCAAGCCTGACCTTTCACACCGAAATGGCTCCTGCGAATATTATGAATTGGGTTAATCTGTGAGCTACTTCAGGATATTAACAAATTAATCACTTTCACTGCTCAGCAGAGTATATATGGGGAGACTTTTTTTTTCACTATATATATACTGTATACTATTGCTATTTCCCTGCATCAGTTAACTGATGCAGGGAATCAGCAATAGTATATATATAGTGAAAAAATGTCATATATATTAAACCAATCTTTTCTTTGCTTTCTCTTAAAGGGCTAGCCAAGAAGCTCCCTGCAGCTGAAGCCACTGCCACAGCAGCAGTGAATCTTAAAGCAAAATCTAAGCCTTCTTCCAACAGAAACAAATGAAATCTCTGTGGAGGAAAGAGAATGACGTGCCCACAGTTATATAGGAAAATAAACACAAAAGTGTAATAAAAACAAGTTTAAATTCCAACTGTGCATGAATCATTTCTCTCAAAAAGTTCCAAATTTTCCTAATATCTATTCTGTCTAAATTATTAAAATAGTATTAATTTTTAAGGGAAATCTCACAATCTTGAAATTTCTTTCTATTCCACCCACCCCCATTTTGGGGCCAATGCTCTAAATAAAAAGAAAGAAATCCAGTCATTCTCTCCCTGACATCCTCAGCGCACCCATTCCCTTTCTTGTAAGATATTTCAAGAACTATTATGAGAAAGAGATCTGTGACTTTTCACCTTCTGCTTTCCATCTTTTTCTGCTGGCGGGGGTTGAGAAGAACTCAACCTTCAATGGTGAAAATAAGCAAAAACAAAACAAAAAACCCACAGTTTTTTAAACCTCCTCGGCTTTTATCAAAAACGGTGCAATTCAAGACCAACAGAGACTGATGTTTGGCATGCTTCTCTCTGGAGATTTGTATCTCACACACACACTGATGGCATCTGGGCTGATGGTGACTAACTATGATAAACATCTTGGGGGTCCAGTGAACTGCTGAAAGAATGTATCCAATATGGAAAGAAGGAAGTCCTGAGCTAGGGATCATTTGGGAAGGAGTAATAACAATAATAAGTACCAATAGTCACATTTATTGATTTATGCCCACCTTTCTTCTAATAAAGTAACACAAAGCATACAATACTTTAAAAAATACATGTATAAAATCACAATAAATTAAGACGTTATCATTAAAATAGGATTAAACCAAAATAATGTTTAATACACCATTAGTTTAAAAAGTGAAAAGACATTTAAAATACCCAGTTTAAAAAATAATGGTAAAAATATGCTGCATCTACTTCTAAAAATACACTTCTGCAAGGGGGGGGGCAACCTAACCTCAGAGTCATAAGGCAGGGAACTCTATAAACTCAGGAGCACCCAGTAATAATGCCCTCTTCCAGGTTCTCGCCAAATGTGCCTATGATGACGATGAACCTGAAAGAAGGCCCTCTCCAAAAGGAGAGACCAGGAGGGTGGCAGGGATATGTGAAGAGTATAGCCCTTGTGACTGGCTTCAGTCAGCAGTCTGGACGCAGGATTCTTAACGGCCTGATGTTGCTAAACTGTTTCCAAAGGCAGCCCCACATAAAGAATGTTGCAATAATCGAAATAGGATATAAATATGTGATGGGTCATTGTAGTCAAGTCAGACATTTTGAGGAACAGGACAAGCTGGTACACCAGCTTTAACTGAGGAAATTCACTGCAAGAACCTGGATATCCAGGTCTACCTGCAGTTTGTTTGTTTGGTTGGTTAGTTGATATACCACCCCATTAGTGCAATGCACTATTCTTGATGGTTTACAGCAAGCTAAAACGTGCAATCATATAAAAACAAAATAAAATAGTTAATTTGTTTACATAGTTAAACAAGCCATATATGTCTCGCTATATATAAACACACCTGAAACAAATTAGGTGCAGTTCTGGTTACAACATCTTGAAAGGATATTGTAGAGCTGTTGTTGTTTAGTCGTTAAGTTGTGTCCCACTCTTTGTGACCCCATGGACCAGAGCACGCCAGACCCTCCTGTCTTCCACTGCCTCCCAAGGTTTGGTCAAATTCATGTTGGTAGCTTCAATCGCGCTGTCCAACCGTCTCGTCCTCTGGTGTCCCCTTCTCCTCTTGCCTTCACACTTTCCCAACATCATGGTCTTTTCCAAGGAGTCTTTTCTTCTCATGAGATGGCCAAAGTATTGGAGCCTCAGCTTCAGGATCTGTCCTTCCAGTGACCACTCAGAGTTGATTTCTTTCAAAATGGATAGGTTTGTTCTCCTTGGATTCCAAGGGACTCTCAAAGTCTCCTCTAGTACCACAATTCAAAAGCATCAATTCTTTGGGGGGTCAGCCTTCTTTATGGTCCAGCTCTCACTTCCATACATCGCTTCTGGAAAAACCATAGCTTTCACTATGCGGACCTTTGTCGGCAAGGTGATTCTCTGCTTTTTAAGATGCTGTCTAGGGAGGTGGAGTTTCATTATGGTGCTGCCAGCAGCCTCCGGAAATAGCTCCTGGGAAAAGCTGGAACTGCCCGGTCTGGGGTCCCTCTGGAAATGGTGGACTGAAGGGAAGACCAGAAGAGGTCTCTCTGAAGCAGTTGTTGGTGGATTGAAGGGGAGACCAGAAGAGGTCTCTCTGAAGCAGTTGGCGAGCCCCAGAAGGAAAATTGGGTTGCAACCTGATATTTCTTCCCTCTGAAAATTCACCCGAGCACAGATCGGAGATGGGAGCCATCTTGGCAGATATCTATTGGAGAGACTGACTTCCTGTGTCTGCTGTTTAGTCTGGACTTTATCTTGGCTGTGTGGGAATCTGATAATACTGCTACGGTTGTAATTTAAATTGTTGGGCTAAAAGTTGATCTATATATTATAATATCTGGGTAAGGAGGGGAGGAAGTACCTAGGGGAGGTTTATGATGATGGGTTTGGTTTGTTGATAAAATAGTGGAAACTAAATAGTATTATTTATACAGACCATACTCATTGGAAATATGGAAATGGCCTCTGAAAAATTAAAATATCAACTGTTGGGGACTTTGTTAGATAAAGAATGGCAGGTTAGCATGCGAATGATAATAACAGGATTTCAGCAGGTAAATGAGCGAGATGGAAGATTTGATGAAAGTCATCAGATGTTAAACAACAGTTAAATGAAACTGTATTAACTCCAGAACTGTTTTATTGAGTTCGATGCCAGGAAACATAGATGGGATAAAGAGTTAACCAGTCAGAAAATGTGATGTTAAAATCGGATTACTGTCCTGGATACATCCTTCTCTTCCAAAAACTGGAAGAAAACAGAGCCACAGAAACAAGAGAGGCATACTGAGAAAATATGGCAAGTGACAGAAATGGATACTTTTTCAGGCTTGCTGAATGAAAGAGGGGATGTATTTTACAATTGGTCTTGGTTTCCTGATAGTGTTGGAGTAACTTAGATTTAAACTAAAACATAAATGTAAGTTGATAGCTAGAGGGTAATAAAACAATTTTAAAAAAGTAGAAAGTTTATTTTTTATTCAAAAATGAAGAGATTGGATGCTTGTATAATTCTTCACTTCCACTGTGTACTCATAAGGCATTTGGCTTAGATTATACCTGACTAGCCCAGTGGTTTTTCCTACTCTCTTCAGTTTAAGCTTGAATTTTACTACAAGAAGCTGATTATCAGAGCCACAATCAAAAACAATTTTAAAAAAGTAGAAAGTTTATTTTTTATTCAAAAATGAAGAGATTGGATGCTTGTATAATTCTTCACTTCCACTGTGTACTCATAAGGCATTTGGCTTAGATTATACCTGACTAGCCCAGTGGTTTTTCCTACTCTCTTCAGTTTAAGCTTGAATTTTACTACAAGAAGCTGATTATCAGAGCCACAATCAGCTCCAGGCCTTGTTTTTGCTGACTGTATAGAGCTTCTCCATCTTTGGCTGCAGAGAATATAATCAATCTGATCTTGGTATTGCTCATCTGGTGGTGTCCATGTGTAGAGTCGGCTCTTGTGTTGTTGGAAAAGAGTGTTTGTGATGACCAGCTTGTTCTCTTGATAAAACTCTATTAGCCTTTGCCCTGCTTCATTTTGAACTCCAAGGCCAAACTTCCCTGTTGTTCCTTTTATCTCTTGACTCCCTCCTTTAGCATTCCAGTCTCCTATAATTAGAAGAACATCTTTCTTCGGTGTCAGTTCTAGAAGGTGTTGTAAGTCTTCATAGAATTGGTCAGTTTCAGCCTCTTCAGCACCGGTGCTTGGTGCATAAACTTGGATTACTGTGATGCTGAAAGGTCAGCCTTGGATTCGATTGAATGTTGACTGTTTCCTGAGCAGCATATGTGTAACTATAAGATTGTTTGGTTAATCATCTATTCTTTACATAAGGTATGAAAATTTGAGATAAAAGTGCCCAACACTACTATCACAGAAGGTAATAATTATCTGATCTAACTGCATACTCTTCTCATAGGCTATGGTAGCTCAAGTACATTGCAGATGCCCTAGACCTAGAATAAGAACAAAAATAATTCCAATAGTACCCTTTTATATGCCATAGGCAACTCAATTAACATTATGTAGTCTATCCAGATAATAATATAACCCAGAGTAACGCCAAAACACACAATCTTTTTCCTTCTTGCCATTTATGTGGAACCATTCAGAAGCTTGCTGGCCAGATTCTTCCATGGGTGTAAGTGAATACAGTAAAGTCATACATTCTTAAGATGCAGCTCTTTCCGCCTTAGTCACTGGTCACATCAAATCAGGCTCAAAGGGAATGCGGTGCCCTGGAGGCCTTGTCCTTGAGCTGGCTGCATATCAGGGACACACCACCTGCTGCTCTCAGTTCATTTTAGTATCTCCACTGGTAAGTCGGTCTCACCAGACGCCCGTCTTTCTTACTGCTTCCATATTCCAAGGCCATTACAGAAATATGACCAGGCAGGAAGGAACCAAGGAAACTCTTTGTGTGTGAGAGTGTGTGTGTGTGTGTGTGCGTGCACACAATTGCAGTTTTATATCACAACATTTATTTCAATGAACAACTCCTGCTTCCTGTAGTCAAAAGAAAAGGTTCTTTTTCTGTCCCTATAAAGGTCCTGTGTTATATTTTCCTAAGCCTTATATCACAGCTTATTTGCCAGACACTATACTTACCCTCAATCAAAGTAAATATAGACTTTGGCAGCTCTGGTAGGACCTTGCAGGCTTGAGAAAAATATCTAATTTCCTATAATTCCTGCCCCCCAAATTAAAACAAAAAAAGTATTCTGCCTCTAAGTCAGACTTTGGCCAGTTATGTTAGATGTCACATAAGACATATAAAGGGATACCCTCATCTACATACTTGCACCTACCAACCCACTGAAACATGGAGGATCCCCCAAAATAGAGTGGCGTGACACCTCCTTCAATACACCCTGGCATTGTGCAGCTTGCCCAGGGCCACACAGGCAGGC